TTTAATGCTTGTGTACTTTAAAACTAAGTTGGTAGAAATTCTCACTGTAAGATATGTATTATTGGATTAATATATACAAAAAAGCAAAAATTTTAATTCATCCATTTATGACAAATTCAAAATCGGAAATTTTATTCAAACTTAGTACCTCAATCATATTTAAAAATGAAAGACAGAGTTACAAACTGAAATTGGTAAAATTCTTTATGAACAATTTGAATTTTGCTTAAAAAAGCAAAACTTTCAATAATTATCGTTTGAATAATTGTCATTACAAGACAACTGTGGCAAATTGAAAGCCCAAATTTTAACATTTGAATTTCGCGAGTTTTAAAATTGTGTTTTGTTTGCCCCTTGTTGCCTAGACTATAATAATAATTGCACAAAGAATAATRTAAAGAAAAATAAATTGTCACTGCCATAAACCGTATAATTAGGCAGATTCCATCTAGAGTTTTAGAGCCATTTGTACGCGAAATCAGCTCCCACTCTGTATCGTGTAAACGAAATATCATCCTGTCATTTGAAACCCTTTTTGTAAATTCTTAAAAATGTACATAAATACTAAACTGACTGGTGTGTCTTTTTTAAAAAAATGTTTATTTAACTTTATTGTTGGTGAATTTGTAATTTATCAATGTACAGTTTTGTTACCTTGATTGCCATGCAAGAATTTATTTTTTAGTGTATCGACGTTGTTTTGTTGCCAATAAAATGTTTATGGAGATTTCGATCAGTGTTGTATATAATTTTAGTGTTTTATAAATATTTGTATGGCAATAATCGAATCTTCGAATCACGGCAGGTCCACCAACCTCTTCCAACTAATCATTGTACAGTCGTGGACCGGCCACCGCCTCCACCGAGGCTTACTTTCCAAATTATTTTGCGGTGCTAGACGCATGCAGGTAATAGGTTTTGATGTAAAATGCACACAATGGGTGTGCGGGCCCATATCAAATAACCCCGCCACCCCCGCCTAAGTAGTAAATGTGGCTAAATTGTATAATATGTTAGATGAGACAAGTGTGCTGTGGAGAGCGATACTCTAGTCAATTTTCAGTTTTGTCAATTTTAGAACAAGTAGTTAAATTATTAGGATGTTGGACGCACGCGGCTATAATATAATAATGCAAAGGCTCATCTGGGGGCGGAAAAGTCGCTTTTTCGCTTCGGGCTTGGGCTTCAGATCGGAAAGTCCTTAAGTAAGGCGAATGCGAGTTGTATGCACATATCATTATAGAATTTATACTTTCCTACATGATTGGGTTTAAGAAGTGTGTACAATAATTACGTCAAGCCTCGACCATTTACACCCCTCATTTAGCTAAAGAAGCGGTTCGTGGAATAGACGATGCAATATGTTGTTACACTACAGGGTTCTTTTTTTACATGTTTCTACGCCGACGATTTTTTTTAACTGACTTCGTTATATCAAATATTTCACGAACTTTAATCATTCCTCTCCTATAGAATATTAAATTGTTATGTATACAAAATATAGTCAGAAGTATTTTTAACACATTTCAGACCACTTCATACTTTCATAGTCATGTTGCATTTTAATAAAATTCAATTCAATTTTTTCATGGGTAAATCTACGGTCACACTTATTTGATCAACGGAATTTGGTAAATGTCTTAGAAATATTTCTGAAATATATATAAAAAATATAGATGTTAAAACTAAACTATAAATTATCAGTATTTAATATAGCTTCTCAAATGGCTAGACCCTCCTAATATGTACTACAAAATAACGAATAAATAAATCATTCAGTTGAGCAATATTCAGTTTATTGAACCTAAAACCTGGTCAAAATTTTTCCCACAGCTGAAACAATTTCATAAATAAAAACCCAAAATGTGTAGCTTCACATGAAAGTGCAATTTTGCAACTAATTAAATTTAATATTTAATTGTTTGAAAACTTCCGCCTAAGAGTAATTATCTAGTTAACTGAAATCTTTTAATAATTGCTTAAATGTCATCATAATTAAGTGTAATTTCAAATTTAACAAAATTAATTCAGTTTCCTGACTAATCAATAAATTTGCCTTAATGTTGAATTATTACAATAATTATTTCTTCATTAGTTTTGAACTAGAGAGAAAAAATTCAAGTGAGCGGAACAGTCAAAATATTAAAGATAAAGGTCAATGATTTCAAAATAATTGAACAAATGAATTGAGTTTAAATGGCTTTTTTAAGTTTTTAAAGTCTGATTTATGTTTAAATGCTAAAACGTTTAATCGCAATTTTCATTTAGTACGTAATAATGCTAAAAATTCACAAAATATAAAACTTTCATTTTGTGCAGAAGCAGCATATAATTAAATAAAAAAAGTACATAGCAGGTGAACAAAAGTATGAAACCAAACATTTTTTGTTTAAACTATTATTTTCTGAAATAACTAACTAATGAATGAGAAAGTATCTATTACAAATATGTGACGTTTCCCAAGAAACATTTTTCGATTTTTTTTTGTTTTTAAATTCTGCAAAATTTTCAATTATTTCAACTGACAACCCACTATAAAAACTTTTTTTACAAGACTATAACCTAAGGATTACAAATACTTAGTTACAATTAATTTTACAAGTTTATAAATAAGTAGTTTTGAATTTATTGAATTGAATAGAATCAACTCTATAAACTTATAAAATTTAAAAGTTTACACGTTTATAGTTTGGAATTAATTTTACTAAAAAAAAAACTGGGAAATAAGATATGCATACTCGTATTTTTCATTATACAGAGTGTTTACGATTCTTGAGATGAAAATTGACCTGTTAATAGAAAAGTGCAGAAATAGTGTAAACAAGAAAAAAAAACTTAGAGAATTGTTATTATTCCGAATGTTAGTTAACTTCAAAATATTGATTCAACGTTTGAGGGTCATTGCAATTATTTTCGTAAACTGAATGTTTCAACCGAAAGTCAAAGAATTATTTGCAGTTCACTCATTTTAATTCACAAAATAAAAATTTTCGGACAACTTTCCGTTTATAATACATGATACACAGACAAATTTTCATCAACTTATTTAGCAAACAACTAAAATTCATAAACAAAATTCTCCATATATCCACAAATATCTGAAATTTAATTAAATCAATAAATAAAATCGAACGGCTCCACGATACCACTTTCCAAGTGAAAGTGGTAGGAGTATATTTTTACCGGCATTAAAGTAAATTCGTTTCAAGTGTTTCAGTCTATCACAGATCCGGTGAAACTCGAGAGTGAAAAATGTGTACAGAGTGACTTTCCGAAATGAACGTGATGTTTATTTCAAAACATTTAGTGTTACTGATAATTATTATCAGCCATTTTAATAGCAATGGACAGCAATTATTGCAAAGAAATCGATTTCGAAGACTCAATAAACCGTCCGGTTTGAAACTAAAACAGAGACTTCAAGAAAAATTAAATCAGTACAAACAGCGAACTATCCAAACAATTTGTTATGGTGAGTGAAAAAAATTAGTAAAAAGAATTGCAATTTCAATTGATGACATTTCATTAACAAACAGTAAAATTTCGCCATCTCTCTAAACAATAAATATTGTTTGCAAAAGGTCGGCTTTTCAGAGTGTAACAGTTTGATCTCGCATGTCGCAAGTCATTTGTCCAACTTCCGATTTTTTTTTAACGTAATTAGACCGGAGTTTTCCGGAATGTATCAAACCGGAATCTCCCGCCGTTATGTAACCCACCATCAAATTACAGAAATTGCTCGTCTGTAAAAACCCTCTTAAATATCATATTTCCGGTAAAAAGTGTTGTGAAAGTAATTTTTACAGATATCGTCGGCTGCTTCGAATTACCTCATAAAAGGTCACCACTTCAGAAAGTACCTGAAAATCCGGAAATGCTAGGTACACAATTTTATTTATTTAGGAGAGGGATTAATTTTTCACAACCGGAAATTTTACGTTACGACGATGACGGGAAATCGCTTAGCAAATCCAGCTTTAATTACTCGCAACCGCTGAAAATGATCATCCACGGCTATATGGGAAAATGGAACGACATCGGAAACCTAATTGGTGCTAACACGTATTTAAAAATTGTAAGTATTTTGTAATTAATATAATTAATTACTCGTAAGATTGCTCAAAATGCAAACGTGCGTTTGATTTTCCTTTTTTGTTGCCAATAATGCGTGTTAAGGTCATTCGACTAGCAATAATAATATTTCATAATCTAAATCGAGTTTCTGCATTTGTGAAAAAGTACCAACAAATAGAGCATCGATTTTTGTTGTCGTCGCTTTCTTCCACTGACCTAGATACCTTGTTAAACATTGTAACACAGAGATGAAACACAAAACCATTTAGCGTGTATTTATTTACTCCAATGAGCAAATATTACGTAACGAACAAACGGACATTTGATTTGATTAAATGCTCGTTATGTCACGATTGTCATTGTTCTTCACGTTGTATTGTATTAATGGTGTTTTCATTTTTTTAATTTAATTGTCACAACTTTTTTGCTAGAAATTGTAAAAAAAAACAAAATTCTATAGGCAATAACTAGCTATTTTAGCTGACTGGCTAACTATAGTTTTAGTAGCTTGAAATAGCTTAAAGCTCTTCTACAACAATAATTTGGGAATTTTTTGTTTTTTAAGGATTGCTATGCTATAGACAGTATACACGGTGAAAAAAAGATATGGAACCAAGCGTTTTTTTTGTAAACTACTTTTTTTACGAAAAAAATATTAGTATAGGGAAAAGTACAATTAAAATGTGAAACACGAAAACTAAAAAAATTTCAAAAAATATTATTCTTAATTCACATTTTAATTGTACTTTACGCTACACTAATTATTATTTTCGTAAAGTGCTTAGTTTACTAAAAGGCTTAGTTTCATACCTTCTATTTACTGTGTATAGGTTTTTATTTTAATGAAAACAATAGTGTACTTAGTTTTTACATTATTAGTGGATATATGTGATTACTTTTATTTTTGAAGTACTTTTAAAATTGTAGATTAATAGCTTAAAATGCAAAAATGTAGCTATATAGCTTCGCTATTTTTAGTAGTTTCCCAGTTCTGTACAAAATTAAATTAATTAAATTTTGCATAATTTCCGTAAGAAAATACAATGTTTTCAAAAACCCTATAAGAATAATGTTAGAAATTGTAAGTAAATTTCTTTTCAAAAATTAACAATTCATATAAGGAACTGAGGAGCTTATGTATGAATTAGAATTAGATGTAACATAAAGAAATAAATAATCTCTAGACCAGAATAGCAAAATTGGTCAATTTATATGACGAGAAAAAAAATCTCAAATATATTTAACCAAAAATTTAAATAGACACAATTTCTAAAAAAATAACAAAAGCACTAAAACATCTGTGATATTACACTGGTCAGCATTGTAACAAAAGTTGAGTGATGGATTAAAACATATCAGGTAGTATTTTAGACTAGGATTCTCGAAATGATTTTAGATTTTCTCCATCACACACATTTTTTTAACAATTCAAGAAATAAAAATATATTTTTAGAAAACCTAAATCAAAATAATCATTCTATTAAAAAATGTAGTATGTAAATATAATTTAAACCCCTAAATTTTTTCTCTTCTTAAAACCTTCTTAGTTTTTTTTTAAACTCTCATTTCTGTTTTTCAATGTGTTCAGACTTGTTTAAAATGAATGCAAAAAAATATGAAAACTTAAATTTAATCTTTTAATATTCTGCCCATAAAATACCTAGCAAAAAAAAAGCTAAAAATATTTCAAACATAGAAACTGATGCTAATCAGTGTTAATTATTAATAACTTTTTTCAAACTATCGTTATTTGAACTAGTCCCTTTTTTCTTTTTTGTTGATATAATAAGATTTAAATTAGTATTTGCCTTTCTAACGAACTCTTTTTAACATACTGAGTATTTGAAAATTCAGTGTATTCAGTAAATTAACATTTATCAAAATTAGAAACTTTCTGGAAGACAAATTTTAAGCGCTGTTTATGTACTAACAGAAAACTTTCAGATTCAAAATTTACATGAAAAAAAAATGGAAACCAGAAATTGGCTTCTAATAACGAATTAATCATATGCAAAAWGTATTACTGTCGAAAAAGTGTCAAGACTTCGACTTTTACGAGGTATACCTAGATTTGAATTTAATTCATTCTGATTTGCCTAATTCGCCTTGATTAAAACAAAAAATGTTGCATTCAGTTCACAAAGTGCAGTCCTAGTTTCGTGCAAATCTTTCAGCAATATCCATTTCGCAACAAAACGTACTTACTTATTTAGATCAAACACTTGCTAACAAGGTTGAACACGTGTTAGCAGTAGCGTGCATTATATCCTTTCGACACATATTTCCTATTTGTTTACAATTAATATATCCAATCCAAGAAAAAGATCTCTCAAGTGCATCACTATTACTTCACAATTTCAGTTAAACGTGAGGAAAACCTTTTGCCACTAATTAAATAACAGTTTCACAACGATGATCGATGTTTCTATTATAATATCCTCGAGTATTGGTTTTAAAGAAAGTCGAGTCCTTGAAATAAATTCATCTGAAACCTAGGTCAGGCACATTGCCTAATCGAGTTCAAAAAATTAACCGGTTATTAAACACTTAATTAACTCTCGGCTAAATTAGAAAACTATGACTTTGCATGTAATTACAGTATGACTGCAATGTGGTTTTGATGGATTGGAGCATAGGTGCAAGAGGGCCCCAATACGCYATGGCGGCGGCAAACACGGAACTGGTAGGCCGACAGTTGGGCATCTTGCTGTTAAAAATGGTCGAAAACGGACTAGAACCGGAAAATATCCACTTACTTGGCTTTTCGTTGGGTGCGCATGTTGCAGGAAGTTCGTCAGAGGTTTTGAAGAAGAAAGGGCATTTAATTGGGCGAATTACAGGTTGATTATTGTTCATTTCGCTACAAATGAAAATACTACGCAATTTTTGCAGGACTTGATGCTGCCAGTCCTCTATTTAGGACCAATCATTTGAGAGAAAAACATAAAAAGTTAGATAGGGATGATGCACGACTTGTTGATGTTATTCACACCGACGCCAGTCCGGTATTTATAAATTAATGATTAGTTATGATTGTAATTAAATTTGGCTTGTAGACGGTTACTGATGGATTTGGGTTGTGGCAACCCATTGGCCATGTCGACTTCTTCCCGAATGGAGGACAGGAGCAGCCAGGGTGTAGGGATACGAGGCAGTCGGTGGTTGTTACACATTTTGGTAAGTAAAAGCAACAAATATTTCCATGTTACACAAATTTTAACAACAAAAAATAGATAATAGCTAAAAAATTACGTTTTTAACAATATTCACCCGGACTTGATTTTCAAAAAATTAATTTTTACTTTTAAAATCGTTAAAACTAAATATAAGTAAATAGAGAAATAAAAAATGTAAGTATCAAATATACGAGTATTT